GACCCCGGCCACGCCCTGGGCGGCCGCCCCCCCCGCCCTGGAGCCCGCTGCAGCGTACCAGGTACCGTGCCCAGGCTGCAGTTGGAAATGGACTGGGTGGGTAGGCTCTAGTCTGCAGTAGATTCTATACTTTTAAGATCCCGATTATCCAATCCCACCTAGGTTAGAGGTGGAGAGAAGCTGAAGGGGAGATGGAGAGGGCGCTGACCCCTTGGGGAAAGAGGTAGGGCCCTCGCAGTTAAGGCCACCAACACCTAGAAGTCCTCACTCAGACTTGCTCCTTCCGCCCTGGCCTCTGGAGGCGGCAGGAGCCATGTACCAAAGTGCTCCATTCAGGGCTGGGAGTACGGAGGGAAGCCCCAGCAGCTCCAGGATTAGGGGCTTCCTGATGGATGGTGACCTTTATGTTTCCTTCAGGCTTCGTTCATTCATGAGGCCCATGAATCATGGCCCATAAAATAGCATATTCATAACCAAAATGTATTACTGTGCATGAATTGACTCATTCTGCCCTGCATCAGCCCTATGAAATAGGTGTCATCATCATCCCAATTTACAGAGGGGAAAACTGAGACCAGCAGAGGTTATCTGTGTTCTTGGAGCTGGTGAATAGCAGAGCTGGGATTCGAACCCTGGCAGTGTACCTGCAGAGCGGACACTCTTAACCACTTTGCTTCACTGCATCCAGGATGCCAGGGCTGTTCCGGAGCTGCCTGCCACACTCTGAGGAGCATCCAGGTTCGAGATCTCAGGGCATCAGGCAGGAGCCCACTAACCAGCTGCTCTTGTCTCTCTTGCAGGGTATCTGTGTGTCTCCAGAGTCCTATCTGCTGCCAGAAACCCCACCCCTCCTGCCCGGCCCAGCATGCCAGAGACTGCAGCCTCAGACCCAGTGGGGATACTGGAACCACAGTGCAGAGGGGCTCCCCAGCTCGGAGCACCAGGGACCAGGCCCCACCTTCCATTTCAGTGATGAAAACCCTCTCCAGAGCTCAGGCCTGCAGCTCAGTGGCTGCCCTGAACTTTGGCAAGAAGACTTGGAGGGGGGCCACCTGAGCATCTTCTACTAATGGCCCTGCCTGTGCCCTGTTCACCTAGGAATCAGGCCTATAGTGTGGGCGCCCTCATTTGCGAGGTCAGTGGTTTTCAGACTTTTCCTTTAGCCCAGGATCCCTTTTCCAAGTGATGCCTTTCGTGGAAGCAGTTTTGGTGGCCTCCCTGGCTGGTGTGGGGGCTGGGGCAGTGCCCTCTGCTCCTAGGCACCCCCCAAAATGACCAGCACCCTGAAGAGCACAGCCCGAGCTGCAGAAACACCCCAGGGCTGGGTTTGGGCCGGGCACCCGCAGCCCCTCGCAGCCCACGCCCCCCACCCATGGGGGCTGCTTGACCACCAAGTTGGCATGGACCGGACTGTGGGGGGATAGATTGGGGGAGTGGGGTGGGCTGAGGGCAGACCCCTATATACTTTGTGTTTGAAGAAACGCAACACAGCGCTTGCCGGTTTGGCTCAATGCATAGAGCGTCGGCCTGTGGACCAAAGGGTCCCGGGTTCGATTCCGGTCAAGGGCACAGACCTCGGTTTCAGGTTCCTCTCTGGCCCTGGTCAGTGCGCATGCAGGAGGCAACCAATCTATATCTTTCTCTCACATCAACATTTCTCTCTCTCTAAAAAAAAAAAAGTCAATGGAAAAAATATCCTCGGGTGAGGATTAAAATGTAAATAAATTTTTTTAAAAGTTTCTTTGTTCTGTGTTTATCGACTTGACTTTTTATGGCCTCTGGGAAAGGGGAAATGTTCCCATCCTGTGGGGAACAAGTCATGCCCGACCAACGCCGATGTGGGCCCTCATCATGTTTGCCGATTATCCAATCTTGCCGATCTGACCATGCCTATTACGCAAGGTCTCTCTACCTGGCCTGCTGTGCAAGGTGGCAGAGCGGGTTGTCCCGTAGACCTGTTCACCTGCACCAGCCCGGTGCCCCTATCCATGTTCCAGGGGGACATTCCTGCACTCGCTACTCCTATGAATAATACATTGTTGTGCCTCGGCCTAAATCACTGCTGACAATTATATGAAATTGTTTTCAAAGGATGCCCGTGAGTGGCCCCCAGGGACTCGGCTAGTGCATTAGTGGGCTCAGGTTGCCCTGACACAATACCACAGATGGAGTAGCTAAACAACCAAACTTTGTTTTCTCCCAGTTGCAGAGGCTAGAAGTCCAAGATCAACATGTCGGCAGGTTTGGTTTCTTTGAGGCCTCCCTCCTTGGCTTGCAGACGGCCACCTTTTCCTCACTGTGTCCTCACATGGTCACCCCTTGGTCTGTGTGTCTATCTTAATCTCTTCCTCTAAGGTCACCAGTCATAGGGGATTAGGGCCCACTCATCTGACCTCATCTGACCTTAATTACCTCTTTAGGGGCTCTCTGAACCCCAAGCTGGGTGGATGCCAAGGCCCTGACTCCCCACCCAGTGCTCGCTCCTTCCCAAGAAAACCCGAGGTCTTGGCTCCAGCTTCAGGGCATCTGCCCCGAAGGCAGAACTGAATACCTGCCCTTCTCCTTCCTTTGGCTCCCACCCATCTGGGGTTCATCTTAAAGGGACAGAGAGAAGTATCCCTGGCCCAGTGACCCATGACTATGCCTCCCTCCCCCCAGCTCGGAAGCCCTGCCAGGGCTGGCATAGAGCCCAAGAGTCCTGGCCTTTAGCAGCAGCAGCCAGAGCGGCGTGTCTTCTAGAACTTGGCAGCTCTGCTTTCCCAGGCTCCCTCAAGAGGTGTGCCTCTAGCCCAGCGGTTCTCAACCTGTGGGTCGCGACCCCTTTGGCAGTCGAACGACCCTTTCAAAGGGATCGCCTAAGACCATCCTGCATATCAGATATTTACTTGACGATTCAGAACAGGAGCAACATGACAGTGATGAAGTAGCCACGAAAATAATGTTATGGTTGGGGGTCACAACATGAGGAACTGCATTTAAAGGGCCAGAAGGTTGAGAACCACTGCTCTAGGAGGTCCCAAGGTAGAGGCAAGAGGCCGCCACCACCCCGACGAGTTGCCTGAGAGACATCCTCGATCAGTGATAGCGAACCTATGACACGGGTGTCAGAGGTGACACGCGATCTCATCTTTTGGGTTGATTTTTCTTTGTTAAATGGCATTTAAATATATAAAATAAATATCAAAAATATAAGTCTTTGTTTTACTATGGTTGCAAAGATCAAAACATTTCTATATGTGACACGGCACCAGAGTTAAGTTAGGGTTTTTCAAAATGCTGACACGCCGAGCTCCAAAGGTTAGCCATCACTGGCCTAGGTGCTGCTGGAGTCGGGGAGCAGGGCCCAGGGGGATGGGGCTAATCCCACCCCTATCCTCACCCTCTGGGAGGGAAGCTCTTGGGAATAGCAGCCCCTGGCCCCCATGTGTCCGGTACGTGGCTCCATCCCAGGCCTGCTAAGTGAGAGCTGCACCTCTGCTAAGTGAGAGCAGGGGAGGAGAGGTGCCGATGCCAGCCTGGGGTGGTCTACCTGCACCTTTCTGGGGATCCCAGTCAGCATCTGTGCGGCTGGGCACTGGCTGAGTGCCTCATCTAGGCCACTTTTTTAAAAAAATATATTTTTTATTGATTTTTTACAGAGAGGAAGGGAGAGGGATAGAGAGTTAGAAACATCGATGA